ACCCTCTGAACAGGGGAAAGAGAGTGAAGTATGCACCCAACTTTGCCACTAATCTCAAGGACTAAACCCATCCCACTAAATCCCAGCACTGGCCCAGCACCTGCAGCCCCAAGTACCATGTTGGCACCAACAGATCTAGTCTTCAAGCCCACCACAGTGCCAGACCAGCCTCTGTGGCCCCAGGCCCAGGCTTGCCCCAAACTAGGCAAGCCCCTGGGGCTCCAGGTCCCAAGATGATCTTCAAAGACCTCGACTTGAGACCTGCCCCAGGTAGAGCCTGGCCCCCATGACTCCAGTCTCCAGACCATCCCTAGTAGACCTAGGCTTTAGGTTGGTACTCACGGGCCCAGACACCAGGCCAGCCCCTGCAGATCCAGGCTGGCCTTTGTGAACCTAGGTGCCAGGAAAGCCTCCATGGACTCAGGAACATGTGACGGGTGACCCCTCTATCAGGCTGGCCCCTACAGACACAAGCTCAAGCCCCATCCCGGCACCAGGTCAACCCTCAAGAATTAATGCTTCAAGCCAGTTCTCACACATAGGATCCAGGCACCCTGACTGAACCCAGCTTCCAGATCTGCCTACCTGAGAACTCTAGCAGCAAGACTGCCAATGTACCCCACCAGACAGCCTGCCCGGAATCTCTGGATAGACTGACTTTCCCCAGACCCTTGAATGTCTCTAGTACTCGGAAGACATGTATTTAATGAAAGTAAAATGATGAATAAATAAGTAAATGAATAAGGAATTGAATGTTCTTTAAAAAGAAAAACAACAGATTGAAGACAGGAATGTCCTTGCATCCCAGTTGTGGACCATCCCATTCACGCAGGAACATCACAATCCCACTTGTAAGCAGTTAGCTGCTGGTCTCAGATGACACTGAAAATGATTATTGGGCTAATCCTGATTGGTCCTAGTTCTGCTGAATGTTTTATGGTGTGAGCAGATGTCCTCTTGAGGGTCTCCAATTGCATCAAAATGAGACACTGCAGTCCTTGGCTTTCAAAAGCAACATTGCTTTTGCTAGTGGCAAACCAATATTTGTTGCAACATCAAGCATTATGGATGATAGTCACAATTAATTAAGGCAAAGAAAGCTTGAAAGAGTGAAGTACAATCCCACTCCAGGGAAAATGGGGCCATATGTAAAAAACTTAATTGTGCCTGAGTGGTTTAAATGTCCTAACTTACTGTATATCCATAAGCATGAAACTTAAAACTGGGATTGACTTGAGCCAAGAAGAAGGCAAAGCCCATAAGAAGTAAAAAACAACAACAACAACAAAACCCCCCAAAAACGTAACCTTTTTCCCACTCCTGTAGGAAACACTCCTGTGCCTATATGTAGGCACATATATTAAAAATATTTAAAATATATATTTTAAAACTATATGTGAATTGAAAGTAAACTTAAAACATTCTAGAAATGATAATCATGTCTAAAGATTGTGATGATTTTTCTTCTTGATAAGATCTGTACTGTCTATATGTCCCTTATTGAAGAAAAGAAGTTATCACAACATTTTTATATAGGAATCTAAATTTTATTTTAGTACAGCCTTTATTTCTATGAAATATAAGTTGGCTAGTATCAGGAAAGACAGGGATCAATAAATGTAAACCACAACAAAAAGACAGAGATGGGTAAAAAAGAGAGATAATGATGGGAAGGAGAAAGTGCCAAAAATGTACCTCCTCAGATCAAAAGAACAGTATAAACAGCTAAAGGCTGGAATTAATCCAGAAATTGAATTTGGCCCAAATAAATAACCATTTGGTGAATTTCTGGACAAGAAACTTAGGAGGAAATGCAACCAGTCCATTGATATTAATTACAGATGGGAGATCTGTCTCTAAAATTTGGAATATAGCAAGCCAGAAGGAAAACCAGCATGAATCTGGTTTAATTTGAGAAGGAGAAAAATGATAATTAGCGTGGGGAGCCATCAAAGTGAGGACAAGAAACTAGACTGACGTGAGGCTAAACCTAGCTGTATTCTAACATGAAGCCCTGTAACTTCAATCTTCCTTCTATCTACAACAGAAAATAGCATTTTCTCAAATGCTATTTGCATTTAGATGGCTAGTAGATACATGTGCTGATAATGTAGTCTAGGGGAGTTATTGACCAGCACAAAGAAAATAGATCATGTCCAAAGAATGAGAGCTCTTTCTTCATCCTGAAGCTGGCCTGAGAAACACCAAGTCACTTTTGGTTATAACTGAAAAGACAATCAACTCAAGCAAAAAGGCTCTATACTGGCTCCTGGGTTCCAAAGTAAGGTGGCCAATTAAACAGTGGGCAGGGCAGACACGCAGCTGAGCCTCAGCCCCATCTGGAACAGGGGGCTCAGACCCCTCCAGGATGCTGTTTCTTCTCTTTGCTTCTTCTCTACTCATCCCATTTCATTTCCTAGCAGCTCCTGCAGAGGTTCATCTGCTGATTGAGCTCTAGCCTCACAGCCTGAAGTTGCTGCCAAAGGAGATTAACCATGTCTCTTCCTCATTTCCAGCTGGGAATGAATATCCAAGGGGCGAACTGCGATTTGACCCCACTTGCGTCAATCAGCTAAGTTGAGAAAGTGAGATCCCCTAAGAACATGGCAGCTCAAGCAGAAGTAAATGGGGGAATCTATCATAGGATAATTACAAAAGTAAAAATGGTGATGTTCCCAGTACAAGGGGGTTTCTAGGCAGACTAAAAAATTTTCAATGTTTCTATCAGGTGGCTCATTAGATGCTAGAAAGACATTTTGATCTTCTAGATACATTCCAGGATAAAAATTGATCTTTTTATGACCAGCGCGAAGAGAAGACCCATGTCTCGTAACTGTGAGGTCAGTTGGTCCAGAAATTGACACTCTTCGGTTGTCTGTGACAATAGAGCACCAGCTCAACAGTCCATCAGCTAGACTCTCAATCTGTGAGACCCAGTGATGCTTGTGGGTTTTGCTAATTCCCGGGTAGCTCTAAGAGATTTCTACTAACAGCTGAGTAAAATGCTCTCGTGATTCTACTTCTCCTCTAGCGTATTCGTCAGAGTCATGGAAATGTACAGTCTACGTCAATGGCACAGGTACACTTTTGTTAAAAACTCTGTCACTGATGACATCAATTCAAAAGTGATATTTTTTATTGCCCATTATGAATCAGCCACCCACTGATGTGTTTTTAAAAGTTATCTATGTTTCAAACTGACATAAATTCTGAGAATAAAATCTAGCACCCACATCTAAAATGTAATTTTTTTTTCTTGAGATATCCCTTTCAAGCAGGAGCAAGACAGATAATGGGGACACAAACAGATATTTGGTCATCTTCTTATTTTAAAATATCAGCATCTGCATTTCAGCACTGCAGAACGTGACATAATAATTTCTCAGTTCCTACTCTGATGCAATTTAAATGAAGTACCAATTAAAATATGACTAACAAATTATTCTGGGACCAAATGAAGATCTTAGGCCAAAAGGTAACATTAAGCAATGTTTTACTTTAAATTTAATTTCATGTCTCATAGGGTCACAAAAAATAAAGTCAAGTGTTAAAATAAGTGCAAAAAATGAGAGAAAATACCAATTTCCATGAATGTAACTTCAATTATGTAAAATCACTTAAGAAATAGATCTACATTTATTCATTTTCTAGATAACAAGATTAACCATTTGATGGGAATCTTTTCCAACTGTACAACCCTCCTTCCTTGACTTTTTCTCATCAGTGTAGGGACTGGGTTGTATGTATTGGGGCTCTTTGGGATGGCTAAGTAGGTACAATTGCTGATCCCACCCTAAATGGCCAGGCTGTAGTGTTTGCCAAATGGCTTTGGTTTTGTAAGCTTTTCCTTTGACATCCATGGAAGAATACATATTCTACCCTCTTGACTTGTTGCTTCTATCTGCTCTTACCTTGGGAAAATTGAAAAAAATATCTTGTTTAAATTATCAAAAGAAATTTCTAAACATCACTGAGGGAGTAGAGGTATTGTCTATCCAATTAAAATTCAGAGAATGTGTGTCAGTTATCAGTTTGATATAACAAGTAAGTTCTGGAGGATTGAATTAACTAAAGGTCTCACCCAAAAGTAAGTGAGATATCACTGGGTTACTGAATACAGATGAATGTCTTCTTTTTTCCTTTAATGATGAACATATTCCAGAAGAAATGTGCCTAAATCAGAGGCAAAAGACCTGTGTTCTAATGACACACCTAGTCACAGACCTGAGTTCCACAGAGCAATAGCATATTGTGGTAGAAAGTATATCAGAATGAGAGTGGAGAGATTTAGAGTATGGATATCTATCTACTTTCAGCCCTGTCACCACCTAGTAACATGACATGGGGCAGAAACTTACCTTCTTGTTGGTTCCATTCCCTTAAGAAGCATAATAACTAGGTAAGTTCAAAGGTCCCTCTAGTCCCCAAAGCCAATGATCAAACCTTATGAGGCACTTGAGAGATTGGGGGAATCTCTTCCAATAATATGTAACATATAAAGATAATTGTGATTCTACAAAGAATGAAACAAAGGCTATAAGCAAACAGGCAAGAGGGAAAGTGTAACAGAACCTGAGTTAACTTGTGAATGCTCTGCTCTGGGTGATAAAATCTAAAAAGTACTATAATATTTTTCTCATGACTGATGTCACTGATATTACCTAAAAAACTTAATACCTTTAATTCAAAGTATTTAATTACTTACCCTTTTCAAATTATAAGATTATATATGTGTGTGTATGTGTAAAGATATATATATATATATATATATATATATTCATTTTTTTTCCTGGTCAACAAGACTGCCTTTAAAAATTCTGGAACTTCAACTAGATTATATCCTTTGAGTCTATAAATTGAAGTTGAATTGGCCTGTAGCTCCCTCTGTTGAGAGACTTGTTATATGTTGATTTGGGTACTAACTCAGTTAACTCTCCCTACTTTGGGGACCAAGACCAGGTATAACGTCTATGATGGTGAAGAAAATATAAAACTCTCTGTTTGGTAGATTTAACCCAAGATCAGTGGAGACAAGAAAAAATTAGGCCCAGGGATTTAAGAATATTGAGCTCATGATCCATAAATTGAAAATGCCAAGTAACTCTTAAGGAAAGATCTTCTTCGTGATAAAGGCACAATCCAATAACATAGTTAGGATTCATCTGCATTTCTCCTCTTCAACTTGATCCAGATGCCATTACATGGACGAAGAATCAATTGTCCTGCCAGGCCAAGTTCTTCTCTTTTCTGGTTTGATTCTACCCAAAAGTGCCGCAGGATGCAGGAAAGAACGGTCTTTTCTTCCATGATGGCGAACTTTTGACCTTCAAGTTAAAGTAAATATCAATTCAATTATACATTTATCTCAAATGTGAGAAATAAGAGGCCTTATTATATTAATCAGTAGTAACAACTTTAATTCTCACAGTAGGCTTACGGGAGAATCAAAATCATTGGGACGCTTGTTAAAATGAAGATTCTTGTGTGCCCCTCCTAGGTCCCACCCAGGGCATCTGAGTTGGGGTGGGCCAGGGAATCTGTATTTGCCCATATCCCAGATCAATCCTGGGCTCATTCAAGCTTGAGATTCATTACTCTAGATTGCTTCTATTGGGTCTTTCATTTAATTTACTATAAATCCACCAAAATAGCTTCAGAGTCATCTATTTAAATCTGGCCTCATTTTACCAATGTCTGCATCATATTAATCGTGATAAGTGCTGAGATACTAAAGCCAAAATCTGTTATAATACGTGGTGATGTATATCACTTTGCTTCAGTACTTCGGCCATGTGTGTTTGTTTGTGAAAATGCAATTCTTAAAAGCAACAACCAAAAATAGGTTAAACATAACTAATCATACAAGTCAGTTTTCTACCATAATAATATATTCTACTTTAATCCAAATCTACAACATTTAAAACTCTACCATGAAACTGATTGTGCTTTATGTTATGGCTGAGTTGTGTCTCCCCCACCCTCCACCACCAAATTCCTATGTTGAGGTCCTAGACCCTCATCCCTCAGAATGGGACTATTTTAAGAACAGGGCCTCTAGAGAGTCATTAATCATTGGGGGGGGCACTAATACAATCCAACTGAGGGAAGAAGATTAGAGACAGACACATACAAAGGAAGACAAATGGAGATACAGGGAGAAGATGTCATCTACAACCAAGGAAACAGTCCTCATGAAAATCAACCTGCTGACACCTTGACTTGGACTTCTGGCAAACAGAAAACAACTCCTGTTGTTTGCCTATCAGTCTGGGTACTTTGCTATGGCAGTCCTGGCAAACAAATACACTTTCTAACAAGTATACTTCACAATATAAGTGGAGGAAAAGGAAACCTTGTTTTTTTTTTAAAGGTTTTGCAATTTGGGCAGTGTCACCACCACACTGCAAAGATTATGGTGAGAACCACTATCATGGGGCCTGAATGGTCCAAGCCAATCCGGACAGACACAAACATACAGTTCCTGGGCCCCGCAGCAGAAGGGCAACGAGCAGTACGGATGGCCGTCCTTGCGCAATTCTCGGAAGAAGCGTTCTGGCTGGAATTCTTCAGGATTGGGGAAGTATTTTGTATCTCTATGCAATCATAGGAATGATGACGCTTCGGTGCCTTTTGGACTCTGTACCCGCTGTCCAGAAGTATCAAGATGTCATGAGACTGAACAAGACAGAACATTTGAAATGTCTACTACTATTTTAATTATAGAATATTACCCTACTACACAGTCTTCATTAAGGTGCGGGCAAATGAAAGGAACAGAAGGAAACAGGCGAAGGGTCTCTTAAGTAACAACAGTCCAGAATATTTCATTTTTCAGGCTTCCTGCAGTAGTAGACGATCAGACCCTTCCCTGATTAAAGTAAGAATATAGGATGACAATGAAAGAACTGTCCGGGCAGTGGAGACAACAGGAAGCAATCTAATGTTGATATAAAAAAAATAGATAAATATGCTAAAAAAAAAAAACAACAAAAACAGACACCAAAGGTCATACATGGTACAATTCCATTTATAGAAGGTACTTGGAATAGCAAATCCACAGGGACCAGGCTGTGGATTACTAATCCTTAAATTTAAGTGGATGCCAGCCCCTAAGGAAGGAGAATGGAAAAGTGTCTCTTCATGGTCCAGAGTTTCCTTCCGGGTGCTGAAATGTTTTGGGATTGGATAGAGGTGCAGTTTCACGAACATTGTAGATGCACCTAATGGCACTGCATTGTACGTCTTAAATGGTTAATTTCCTGTTACGTGATATTTAAGTCAACTTAAACTAACAGAATGAATTGATACTTGCACTCCACTACAAAAATTATTGCTCAAACATTTTAATACTAATATGAATGGAAGAATGAGGCAACAATGAATGAGCAGGAACACGAGGAGCAGCAGGACAAGGATTGTAACAATAATGGACTGTGTCACTCATATGGGAATCAAAAAGCATTGTGAGACCGAAATGAACCAGAAATCGGTGGAGGAACGAAACGTGAACCTACTCCAAAAGAGCTTGTAACCTTTTAGAGATCAATTTATCCACCTGAGGCAATCTCAGAGAAATTATCGATATGGAAAAAATAAAAAGACTGCAGAAAACAAAGCCTGAAAGTTTAGATGTCTCCATTCTGCAACATAAAGTGTAACCTCTTGATATGTAAATTTCAGCCCTGACAATCTGAACTCTCAAAGGGCTGCTTTCGCAACCTCATCTGTCCAGTGGATGAGAGAATGATTCCTGGCTGTCCTCTCCCTCCTTTCACTGTGTGCCTCCAAACCGAGAAATTTCCACTTCTGCACCATTGTTCATCCTGGTTCCTTCTTTTAGCAGGACTTCTCGTCCCAATTATTTGTCTACTTCCTTCAGCGTTTTCTCCTATACAACACTGTTATCCAAAGAATGCCACATCATTGCTTGGCTAAGGCCCCCCCTCAACCCAACTTTTTCCCTTTCACCTTCAGCGATGGACCACCCTGTGAATGCAATTTAAAGGGATAAAGTGAAGTAGCCCCTTTTCTGGTATGGCTGATAATGGTTCCCCAAAAAATAATCATGTCCCAATTCCGGACACACTATAAATGTACCTTATTTGGAAAAAAAGGGGGTCTTTGTAGATTTTATTAAATAAGGATGCTTAAAGAGGAGAAGCATCCAGATGGCCCTGAATACTATCCCAAGTAACCATGTACGAAGAAAGGCAGATCACACCACATACAACACACCACTCATCAGCCGCGCGCACACACACGAGCAGAAGAGAGAGAGAAATGTGCTCAAACACGAGGATTCCAGGGATGGCGGCCTACAAGCTGAGGAATGCCTGGCAGCCACCAGAAGCCTCAAGAGCAAGGAATCGGATTCCAGAAGAACAGCAGCCTCAGCCAACATGTTGATTTAGGCCCAAGATGCTTACAGTGGACTCTGGGTCAGAACCACGAGAGATACATTTTGTGCTTTAAACGCTCCCAAGTTGGTGAATTAGTTACCAGCAGCTGCAGGAAACAGTATATCCTTCACTCCCACAACCCACCTTTCTTTTGTTGAAGATGAAGCAGTGCTGCTGGAACACCAGCAAGAAAACAAAATCCAAGATAGTGGAGATTGACAGAGAAGAAAAAACAGGCGGGGGGCGTGACTGGGACCCCCCTGAGATATCCCCTGCTGACATCAGCCTAGACTCCGCTTACCTCGGTTGGCTGTGCTATAATCGGAATTATCGTCTCAGTGTAACCCATCTTTCCCTCCTTTGTGGTCAGAGGCCAGTCTGGATAAACAGCTTCGCTTCCGTGCCTCTAAACCAGCATCACCGTACTCCTCCGTGCTTCCAAATAGCATCTTCCTCTCCACCACTCTAGTGCACAGCCGCCCATACCAACATTTTATGTAACGTGTTGTTCGCCCATGAGGCAGGTGGACCCTTGAGGAACAGTAACATCATTCTGGGCATCCCCAGCATCTGGCCAGGGCAGCCCATGCCAGCGCGAAGTGGCGAATGGCCTGTACCTAAAATGGAAAGAGGCTCCAAAGGCCATAGGCACTGGAAAGGATGCGCTATATGGGAACAAAGGATCCCAAAGGACCTTCCTGCTTGCGATACCGTCTTTCAGGACACGGTCAGACCTGTACAGCCTTCTGGCAAGAATGACACCTTCTCAGTGGACTCCACCTGGCACATATCTACGGCCGAAGGGGCCAAACATACCCAAACACTTCATCCAACTCTCTGTCCACCTTTTTTCTGACTTCTGGAATTACGAACCCAATAGGTATAAAGACGCCAGTTGTTGCCAGGCTGCAGTTGTGCGTGGCTACAAATTGGAAGAAAATGATAAGCTAAAAAGGCAGAGTTACTAAGGCGAGGAATGAGTGGGACTGTAGTACTCCACTTTGAAGCTATCGGTGAGCATTGACAGCCTGCAATGAGACTTCAGAACATAACAACAGGAATTCCGACGACATCTTCCCTCCTGGGAGAAACCAGCAAAAACAGTCCCTGAAATGTAAAGGTTGTGCTTGGAGATGACATTGCACTGCCAGCGTGGTGGCACAGCTGGCGGGAACGTGGCCTGGGGCAGCAGTTATAAAGCGGGCCATCATCCGGGAACAAGATAGCTCACCTTTTTGAAGGGAAAAAAAAAGTCTGGCTTCATGAACTCACGCTTGTCAAGATGGTACTTCTACGCCTGGCCTGATTTGAAAGTACGGCTTGTGCCATTTGACGGCAGAACCCAGAGAGTAATCATGTGTGTTCTGAAGAACATCCTCCTGCATCAAGAGGTTGACAAATAGGCCCTCATTTAATACTTTTGCTGAATTTTAGGCGCAAAATACTAAGTGCTTTAAACAGAAACCAATTGCAATCCTAATCTTCACAAAAAACTCATCATTGTTATTTACATTTTCAAGATTAAAAACAGAGGCAACTAAAAGGTTAAATAACTTCCCCCTGACCAGACCAGCTGAGTAGGAGGCAGACGAACGGGAACCTGAACCCACCTGGAGTGTCTGAAGACACAAAGATGACAAATCATGTGCAATCGGAAACTCAGATGGCCTTTTTTGCCTTTTGCCTTGAGGGGATTACCACATGGGGCTTAAAACCATTTTTTCCTTTATTGCAATTTACATATAAGAGATGACCGTTCACTTGTTTGCATACTTAAAATAATATTTACGTTATCTTGTGTAAAGCCACTTCATATATATATTCTTTAATCTTGAACACCAGCAATCCTTTAGAACCATCGATCCTGGTTAGACCTCTCCTTGAAGGGCTCTTACTATGGCTCTTTTAAGCTGGAGCACCTCATA